GATTTTAGGGTTTGTAATTTAGGGATATAGAGTTTAGAGTTTTGACTAGTGAAAAAAAGAAGAGGATTAACAAAAGAATAATATTTATAAAAGTTCTGTTTAAAAATAAAATTATCATTCATATTTATAAAATTAATGATATATAACTGTAATGTAGTGAATAGCTAGATTTATTTTTTTACTAAATAGTTGGAATTTAAGATTTGGTGTTTGAAAAGTATACTTTGATTTATAAAAATTAATTAAGGTAATAATTGAAAGTATAAATGTTTTGGAGTTTGGAATATATAAAGTTGAGTTTATAGTTAAAGGTTTAAGATTTAATGTATAACATAGGGTTTGAGTATATGTTTTATTGTTTGGTATATATGATTTAAGATTTGAAGATTTTAGTTAGAGGCTATGGTATATCATTAATTTGGGGTATGCTATAGGTTTATAGTTTAGAGATTGAAGTTTAGATTAAATATTTGAAACTAAAATTCCAAAAATAATAAAGTTAAATTTAAACTTGAAATTTGAAACTAGATTAAGAAAATTGAAGTTCTAGGGTTGTGTTTTGAACTTTAGGTTTTAGAAATTAAGGTTTGGGGTTTAGATTTTAGTGTTTAGGGTTTGGGGTTTTTGGAGGCAAATGAAATAAAGTGAGAGGGAAAATGAAATGAAGGTGAGAGGGAAAATCACTCACTTTTCCGCCTCGGTAAAGATAGCATTTTAACNTTTTGAACTTTAGGTTTTAGAAATTAAGGTTTGGGGTTTAGATTTTAGTGTTTAGGGTTTGGGGTTTTTGGAGGCAAATGAAATAAAGTGAGAGGGAAAATGAAATGAAGGTGAGAGGGAAAATCACTCACTTTTCCGCCTCGGTAAAGATAGCATTTTAACGTGCAATGATATTATATATACAATTTTTTATAGCATCAAGGTAAAAAAACGCTATATTAAATTATGAGTTATGTCTAAGATAGCATTCTCGACCAAAACGCTATCTTCTTATGCTATCTTTATCCCCTTCCCTTGTAGTGTTACATCATGGATTACAGAAACTAACTGCAATGCTACAGAATAGACAGAACATAAAAAGTCAACTTACTTTTTGAATTAATACACGGAGACGCCCAAGCAGCACCAAAAATGTTACCAAGATCCTAGGAAAAATGAACAAGCTAGGAGAATCGATATCCCACTGTAGCATAAATTAAAAAAAAAAATTTGAGATTTTAATGCAATTAGCACTAAGAAATTATGCAAAGATTTTAATTAATACATCAAATCAATACCTAGTGCCTACAAGATGGGATCGGTCATCTGCAACACAACGTCCAGACACTCGGATCTTGTTCATATCTATGAGGTGGAATGATTACAGCTTGTTTACTCAGGTTATGGAGATCCAAGCAACAAAGAATAATATAGATTAGGCCATACCAGTGAGAATATATGAAGAGCTCCACGAAGTCTGTCCAAGATATATGGTTTCTAAGTATCAGATTTCTTCAACTTCAGGCTGCATAAACCCCAAAAATGTCAGCTATGCTCCAATGCCATTCTATCATAAACAAAACATATGGAAGATAAGCCTACCTCTCCAGAACATGATGATTCTGTTCTGAAATAACATGAAAGCATGGTCCAAGAATCTCCTCCATGTTTGCGGTTCGCAAAAGCCTCAAATCCCTCCTCACCTGAACAATAAAAGACAGCTGAAAGAACATTATA